GGAAGAGTACAGAATGACGCAGTACACCCTTTTTGTCAAATGTTTATTACACAGATTAAAACTGATGTTTTAATGGAAACAACCAGGTGTTCCCAAGCACTACATGAGCATAAGAATACGTATATAATCACAGCATTAAAGAGTAAGTCACTTAAAAGCAGCAAGGAATTAGTGTCAGGTTTATATGACCTTATAGCTAAATGATTGTTTCAACAAATACAGCACTTTTAATGAAAATGGTAAACGTTAAATGATCCTCCAAGGTCTAATAATAACATGAAAATGAGTTGACACTAGTGACATCCTTAGATTAAAACTCAGCTACGCTTACTTTAGGACAAATTCTCTTTGCCTCTGCCTCTCAAATTAGAGAAAGGCAAATAAATCCTTCATTAGAAATGCTGCAGTGTGATCCTTCTCAGCTGTGAAGGATAGCAACAGTTGGTGAGATTTTCCAAATAAACATGGTATACTTAGCATAGTGTTTCAATGAACAAATCAACCTTAAGCATTAAAATAAGTGACAGGCAACGTTTGTATCAGGAAGCTTTAATTTGCTATTTCACCTGCATACTATTACACCTACATGTACCTACACTATTACAAAAAAATCTTAGTGAAGGACAACCATTTATGTTAGTGAAGAAAAGAGAGTTTCAACTTTTTAGATGAAATACATCCCTACAGAGAACAGTCTCTCTTGTATTCACAACTGGCAATGAAACATGCCTAAATGATAAACTAAACCCCTGAATCCTGCACTAGTTTTACCCACCAGATTCAGCCTGGCCACATGTTCTACAGGTTTGTGAGGATGAGGAAGTCTGAACAGGAGCCAGGGAACTTTATACCTTGCTGTGAACAGTGTTGTGCAAAAAAGGGAAGTAGAATTACTCTTCAGAAAATCAAAGCTAAGACAGAAATAATCCAAAACGGTCTTTTAAAAAGCACGGTGTCATCCTAACTCTGCAGAGCTCTATCTGAGATAACGATAGACAGCAGTAGTACACCTGATTGGGAAAGCATATTAGACCAATATTGTGCCAAGAAGTGTACTGTTCCAAGTAGCAGAACATAACAAAATCGGGTTAGTTTTCTATTAGATTTCAGTGGTGGTTTTGCCTTGACAAACATATCAGTCTGCAAGCTCAGAAAGCATCATTTGGTTACCTAAATGCTTGATTTTGTTCACTTTTCATTTGCAGCTTAGTCCAACTGCTCATTGGATCAAGTCACATTCTATTTACTGAAACAATACAGAAATGGCTGAAGCAGTACTTGTTCTGAAGCCAGGCTGCATTTCCGCTTAGCTAACAGGCATATCTAGACATGAGCATGTGCTTTTCAGTTCCTATTTGCCAGGCTTTGCACTTCTCTCTTGACCTGCATCATCTATTACGTGAACAAAGGCACTTTTTACTCCACTTTTCCAGGCACACAAATTAAATTGTCTACATTTTCTAAACACTAAATAACATTTAGGCTTTCTTCTTAGTATTCTTGCCTCCTGTTGCTAAGCTGCTGCTAGCGCAACAGTTTTGAGAAGACTTTAAAAGTGAAGGAGTTCAACTAAACCATAGGCAAGGTCAGTTGAGTCTTTTTTTGTAAGGGAATGGTTAAAACACACTAACCTGGGAAGCTTAGCTCCTGAAAATTGGTTGCTGTGCAAGCTTTTCACTTACAGCCTTCGCAATCACAGACACAGCCAGCCTGACATGAAACTTGCTCTTCAATCTGTGACAACTCACCATAAAGCAATTTAAAGAAATTGTGAATATTTAGCAGGGCCAAGGAATGGGTTCCATAGTAGGAGACCAACTTTGTTTAGTAGAAACTTTTCTCCTGATGTTTTTGTTCTGCTATAACTTTTTAGAAGAGGGGGGCAGTGAATTTCCTTGTTTATACGAAGAATTTTGGACTAAACACCTGCAAAAGCAACAGCTTAATGCCACATGTTCTCCCTTTCTGCAGCCTACCAAGAGACATCCAAGATGCGGTTGTGAAAAAGAAAGTATAGTTTAGTTAAACAAGGGGGATAAGTAACAACATGGGACCTCTTAAGATTATGATACTTCTAGCCCTATTTCCTCAGAGAAAACTTAAGTCAAGGCTCTGCTTTCTATTAACTCCAATGAAAAACTACATCATATGGAGAGGCTGAAGAAATGGCCGCCAACCAAATGTTCATTTCTTAAGATGAAACATACACTCTTCACAATCACAACACCTTCAGGAAACATCACAAGTGGACTGCATTAACACTTCATAACCCGCACTTCTGCGCTTCGGAGTCACTACGCTCATTATCACCACCGAGCTTGTTTCTTGGAGAAAACAGAGGGCGTTTTACCTTCGGCGTTTATCACAATAGTCGCGATAACGCCTTTCTGGGACTGAATCCTCTTTAGGGTTTCCTCCACTTCAGCCTGCGGGGAGAGAGAACACCACAGCAACCACCGCACCTCCGACCGACAG